GTGGCGGCTAACACCGTGATAGAAGACGCTGAGAACAAGGACCAAGACAACACCCACACGTAACCTTACCATTTTGTATTATAATCACTCCATATCCCTATAGTGTTGCTACGTTGGTATTAATATAACTTCGTTCAAGCTCTCCGAGTCTTCTCCCTGTTTGGTGTATACTACAAAGTGGTGACCCTGCCAGGATGAAAATCCAAAGAAAACCTTCTGGCGACTTCGAACGGTCACCGAAAAGCGAAGCTGATCTGCCATCGGATGTAATGCCTGCACTAATCAGCATTCTGGACCGTCTATCCACGAACAGCCAATCTTCAAAACCGTGTCCCCCGATCCCAATCCCGGAAAGGTTCGCAATCGGTAATAATTATAACCGATGGGAGAAGCAAACAAAAATCTACCTTCGACACTTTCCACATGAGAAACACGCCAACCTGGTGTATAGCCTGCTCACTGACGAAGCATTCGATATTGTCTCCGAATCCCGAATTCTAGATGACGAAGTAACAGACGATACCTTTAAGAGGATCCGACAACTCTTAGACACCCCCAAACTAGCGATCGAGTACCGTCGGGAGTTTCACTCCCGCCGGCAACTGGCTGACGAAAACGTCCGCGTCGACGTTCGAACTCTGCGACATTTAGAAGACCGCGCATTTCCAAACCTGTTCAGCTTCGAACGCGATCGGCGGATCTTAGAACAACTCGTCGAGTGCACATCATCCACCAGCGCCCAAAAAGAGTTCTATTTTCAACACCCTGAAGAATTAAACAAAGCCGTTGAAAGGGTCGAACTGTTGGAAAGACGCGACGCAGCGATAGCCCGCCAGAGCGCAGCGCATTCCCCTCACACCCTATTCTTTCCATGTTGGAACTCCCCGATACGCACCACCGCGAAGTACAGCCAACTCCCGCCGACCCGGACGTTGAACTTGGCGGGGCCGACGTGGCCAACGAGGGCCTTGGAGCGGAACCAGAAGAGGTGAGCTCCCATCAAATATCATCACCCCAGTCTCATCCACTTCTCCCTACGCGCCGTCCCTCGTCGCTCCACTGACATTCCAACATAGAACCATATCCGGCCTGATAGACACTGGCTCCTCCCACAGCCTGTTCCGGGCAGACATCGCCCGGAACCTACCGGGGGGAATAAAACACAACAACCACGACCACCTGGTAGCCGCAAACGGTTCCACAATAAAGACGGAAGGATTGTTAACCGCAACGTTCAGCCTGGGAACACACCGATTACGGCACACGTTTATAATCTCACC